ATGACTACCATATGGTTGTCTTTTAACATCCCATACTTCTATGTCACCAGGTATATATTCCCCATGTAATAATTCTCTAGGATGTGCCTGGTTTTGACGAACATCATATGAATGTACACACCATGTTTTCCAATCAGTCCAATATAATCTATGATCAAAAAATGTTACTGCAAAAGGGTAATCTAATCCTTGTTCTATAACTTTTCTTCTGTTTTTTCCATAATAATCCATCACTGCGATAAATTTAAGTCTTCCATCTACCCAATAAACCAATTCATTTTCATAATCTACAGTTAAACCATTTGGCCAAAATATATCATCAGAAATGATTACTTCTCTTGTCGACGGATCTCCATTCATTGCAGCTCTTTCTATTTTAGGTACATCACCCCAATCAGTCCAAAATAATATACTTTTCATTGGAACAAGAGCAATAGCTCTTGGTTGATAAATATCTGTCCAAAAAAGAACTTTTCTATGACGTCCATCAATGCTAGTTACTTCTATTCTATTTTTTTCTCCATCTGTCCAATATAATTTTCCTGTATACCAATCACAAGCTAAACCATCAGGAGAAATTAAACTAGAATTTACTACAATTGTTTTTTCACCAGTATGAGTACCATTTGTTCGAATACATTGAATTATTTCTAAACCACTATCTGACCAACATACTAATTCATGCTCAAAATAAAAATCTAATGCTGCACCTTCTGAGAGATCTTTTATGACAGTAGTTACTTTGTTAGTACGAGAAGCATTAGCCATTCTAATATCTTTTTGTGTGACAAAGAGAAGAGTTGGTGTTCCTAAAAATAACAATTCATATTATTAAAATTAAAAAGATTTATATAATTATTATAAAATTATTATAATATAAAACTAAAAAATAAGATTTAAAATTATTTTACAATATAAAAATCAATTAAATGAAAAATAAATTTTTATTAACATCAGAAATAAAATTATTAATTAATTAATCATTTAATTTTATAATTTTTTTAAGATTTAAAATTAACTTCTTTCTATTATTTATTTTTTTTTCTATTATTTCTTTCTATATTTAAGTATTTATTATTATTTATAATAAAATAAACTACAATCAGGAAATTATTATATTACATTACATTTACATGTAATGTTTTAATTGCAGATAAACCGTAACATAACCTCTATTATAAAATCATATAAAAATAAAACAATAAACATTGCTTACCATTAGACAAAAGGACAAGTTTGAAAAAACATGCAGTTAGGATAATTATTAAACTGATAATATCCATTCTGTAAGACAGAGAAGATCAACTGGCGACTCGCGAGTCGCATGCGGCTCCTTCTCCTACTTGCCTACTTCGTTGAGCCATAGAATCCCGAACTCCTCAGCAGCCATTTGAATGTTTTGACTATGTTGTATCGTTTCTAAGGATCGGACTCAAAAATATCACAATGACTTGAGTAAATTTTATTTGAAATATATTGTAATTTGAAACAATAAGTTAATTCAACTAACATATTATCTTTATTTTAAAAATAATTTACAAAAAATAATTTTATTTTACATCAAAATGATTTAAATATTAATTTAATTTAATTTAAATATTTAAATATTAAATTTTATCGAATAATTTTTTTTAATTCAATGTTTAATTTCTAAATAAATAATTTCTAAATAAAATAAAATTTAAATTTTAACTTTTAATATTAATTTTAATTTTAAATACTTAATTTTAAATACTTACTACGTTTTGTATGTATCAAAATTATAAACAATAAATATACGTGTCCAAGCATGAAGCGGTAGGGAAATAAACGGATTAGTATTTAACAAAATTGTAAGTTTCTCGAGACTTTGAACTTAAAACAGAAAAGTTAATCAAGTCCAGACCTGTTGTAAGAGATTCAGGGCTGATCCTTCAGCCAAGTATGTAAATTGAAACAAGACTTCGAGAAAATGGCGGGACTTGTCGATCAAAGTGAATTTAATTCTTCATCCTTATTTGTTTTCATATATATTTATAAAATATATTTACAACATAGTTACAATTTAACATAATAAAAAATTGAAATGATCTCATACTAATTAATCCTATTGGATGTAAAACATATATAAATAAAATTTCATTTTCTTATCTAAATTGATACACAAGTAACATTATAAGTATTATTAATATCTTATATATATATATATTATAATGTTAATTTCAAATAAAGAATACGTAAAATAAACTTTAAGGAATAAAGTTTATAATTTATTTAGGAAATTATAGGATAAAATTTTATTATTCTGTTACGTTTAAAAAATAATTAGTAATTAAAAAATAATATGAGTTTTTAAATAAAAATGAAAAAAAAAATTATAATAACTAATATATAAAAATCAAAATATTTTTATCAAATAATTTTTAAATTATTTTATCAATATTTTTAAATTATTTATCTTATATAA